CAAAATTTTCGTTCAGCCAAAAACGCAGCAACCTTCGTGAGCGTAGCAAAGTAGAGTCTTATTTGGTCTGAATACTGCCTATCGAGAACAACGCCGACCCAACAAACCGCCAGGTATTTTAAAAGCCAATCCCCGTCCGCGCAAATTTGCCCCATTTCCTTGGCCTGGCGGGCACGCTCAAGAGCCGGGAGCTTCCCACGGAATATTTCACTTCGTCGCGTGCCGCACTTAAATATCATATCAAACTATTAATAAATTATTATTGATTGTTGATAGTATTAATTAGGATGTAGTTTCAGGGGCATTTGCATGCCGGACGAACCCCCCCACAAGGCTCAAAGGTCCTTTTTTGTCCACTTTTTATGTAAAGGTCCACTTTTTTGTCCACTTTTTATGTAAAGGTCCAAGATTTTTCTTGAAAAGACGGACTGGAATAGTAGAAAAACTGCTCCCTTTGTCATTGAATAAAAATTTATCTCAGATTTTTTCTTGGAAACCCTCTCAAAAATGCACGAAATGCCATTTTTGAAGGTTAATTTTTCAAAATTTTCCGGGGGAGCATGCCCCCGGACCCCCCTAGGAACCTCGCGCCTTCGGCGCTCGCCTCGCGCCTACGTCGCTCAAGGTCCCCTCAAGCAGTGGGAAGAACCCCCCCATTCAAAATCCTGGCTACGGGCATGATTTGTAATGTTCAGAAGGGGGGAGGCCAAGGAAAGTTTTCTTATAGCGGGGGAGGGCCAGGGAAAAAAATAAATACGGGGGGGAGGTCCAGGGAAAACCTTTTCTGCCCGATTTCCTACGCACCGGCCCTCCCCCCAGATAAATAACGTACGGTCCCTTAGGTCCCTACAGCACCAACTTTCCCTTGTGAAAAAATAAGACAGACAAAAATCCACCCAAGGGTCCTGACAGAACTCAATGATTAAGTCCCAGAATATAGAGAAACCATTGCCAGAGGCATGCATAAAGAAGACTGAGAGCAAGCACATTTACAATAGCCTTGAGAGGGAATATTAATGGCCGCTGTAAATACTGACCTACAATTACATATATAACGTTATATATATGTAGGTTAGTTAGTCATTACACGTAACGGTACCCGGCGATAATGTGTAGGGGATTGGAGAGCCAGGCCCTGGAGAAGGCAGGCTGAAATGTGCACCCTGAGAATTTGATCCCCTTCCAATCCTACAATACAATATACATGTCGCTGTTACTTCCTGATTTGTTTTAGACCAGCAGCCCTTGCGCTGGAGTGGCGTGCATGCATGAGTCATTGCGATTCGACAGTGCTCAAGTTTCGGTGGGCTGAACCGGACTGTGAGTGTGATCAGTCGGGGTGCAAATAGTCCTTAACCCGAGTACGGGCGGAAGACGTATAACTCCATAAGACATTGCGGCGCAGCAGGTCTCGTCTTTAAGTATACTAACGTTGTGTGATTATCGACAGTATGGCAGAAGAAAGTTCAACTTCTCTTACTTCCGGGTTAAGAACTGATGAGCCTCACGGCGGTTCCCTCAGCGCCGAAGACGTGGCCTCTGCAGCGGACGACTTGCTGGGGTCGCTGGACCTGCTGGTACGCTGTGGGCTGAGCACCGAGGGTCTAACCTCGGTGGAGGAGGCGCAGGTCCGGCTCAAACATCACTTACAGGGCACAGCGAGGGGGGGCGAGCCGCAGAGAAGTACATCTAAGGTAAGCCACATCGACTTTTCCCTTAAGGTCAAAGTTTACCAAACGCCACCTGACCCACCCGAAGTTACTTAGTTTAAATATTTTGAAACTTTGCTGTCGCTGTGATCGTCAGATATTTTGCACGTACACCTTAGACACGTTTAGAATACCTCCGCTCCTTGTTAATAGTTCCGTTGAATCCTGGATTATTAATGTGGGAACCCTGCATGCAACAGCATTTATTTACGCTAACTGTTATAGTCCAACAGTGAAAGAGGAAGTCACGGAAGGTAGACACGGTTAATACAACATAAACAGTCACGGTCTGCTTAATATATATAATGCTATTTCCCTGAAGAACGAAATGGCGATTCGCACAAGCGTAAATCTATATCATTCCGTCTCCACCTGATGTCTTTGTTTTTGTCTTAGTGAAAGAGAAAGTAAGTCAGCCATATGACGTAGCACGTTTGCCGCCATGATTTTCAGCGCACAGAAAGTGAAACTTGTGCCTGTAACCACTAACGTTAGCGGTTACTTGGAAATCGCCTCCTTGTCGTGTATCCATGCAACATGGGACGTGATATCAAGTCATGCGAAACAAGAGTTCAAAGATCTCATACCTCCATGAAATATTCAGGTTTTGTGATTTTTGTCGCTTTATCCTGTCTCATTGATGATAGAAATAAGGTTGTAATTGGTATAATCTATTGTAATAAATGGACTTTACTCAAATTACATAATAGTGGATCTTTGGAACCCCCGGGATCAAAATGATTAATTAGCTGATGGGTTTCATGGTCCCTATCGGCGCGGTGGCATCAGTCTGACTTCCCGCGCCCAGAGGCAGATCATACAATTTTATTCTGAACTACTTAGAGAGGAGCGTGTAGATAATTTTGTATGTGCGAAAGTTCTATCCTATGGCAGAATTAATTATAAGCATTTCATCACTTTATGCAAATTAATGCATGCATCTATGCTCGGTGATGTTCACTATCGGCTTAAAATTTTTTAGCAAAAACCGTCCCTGCAGTTCCATAACAAGTTGTTAGGGAGGGTTGAAAAGCTACCTGCCACAAAAAGGGTACAAATGGTCTGCTGCAATACGAAATCAGTATTTTTGAGACAACAAAAATAAGATCAGTCTTGATGTTATTCATCTATCATCTTTCAGGTGATGCAAGCCATGCAGGATGAAGTAGAGAGAGACAGTCACATCCGGAAGCTGCTCTTGGACCTTTTTCCCAAGCCGAGAAGTACTTACACGGTCTGGACCAGCCGCAGAAAGACCAGCTGGACGCCGCGCCCGGTGTGCAGGGGTGGGAGGACAAACTCACGTGGTACCAGGACAGACTGACGAGGAACGACTGTCCCATCCTGGTGGCAGGTGTGTGTGGAGTGGCTGGGTGGATTGTCTTGATATTTGGCCTGCGGGCAGGCCTTGATGAGACAGTTTTGGTATTTGATGAGTGTTTTTTAATGTAAGGTATGACTATAAAATAAAGCGTACAGTATATTTTCCTGAGTTTGATACTGAATTTCCCGTTTCCACAGGGGAGACGTCCGCAGGAAAGAGCAGCATCCTGAACATGTTGCTTGGGGAGGAAATCCTGCCGTACTCGCTGTTATCCACAACTTCTGTCATCTGTGAGCTCAAGTATGGCGCGAAAAGGTAGCGAACAGCAGAATTATTCTATTCTGTCCAAAGCTATATACTGTACCTGAATCTTATTCGGGCCTCTCCTCTATCCCATGTTTGTTCTTAACAATGATATTGACATGTCTGGCACATCCCATATCGTCTGTATTGTGCCCTGCAGATGTGCTGTGGCTCACTTGGCAGAAGCTGATCCGGCCACAGGGAGAGATACAGTGGACATCGTTTTTCAGGACTCCGTTCCCGTCATGCAACAGCTGGCCCCGTATGTGCAACAGAGGGGAGACCGCTCAGCTCCCAGTCCTTACAGCAAGGTCGAAATCTTTTGGCCTTTGGCGTATTTAAAGGTAGGCTAGGATTTAATACCTTCAGTTCCTCCATTTTCCACCTGAAGCATATACTTCATTAGAACGATGCATATCTGATTATACTAGCTTAGTAAAACGATGTGGAGGCGTAACATTCACGGATGAAAGTCATTCAAAGTTCGCTGTTTAACACCTGTTGTACTTGAAGTCACATATAGTTCCGATTTGATTGAAAGCTTTTTCAACATATACGTAAAGTTGATTTATTTTACAGGGGGGTATCGTGATTGTGGACAGTCCGGGGATCGGAGAGAGTGATGACATGACAAAACACGTCATCAGCTACCTCCCACAGGCCTTTGCGTTTATCTACGTCATCAATAGCGGGAGCGCGGGAGGTGTGCAAGAAGACAGGGTAAGGCACGGCAATTCGTCAAAAGAAAATCAATATTAGATAATATTGTAAGGGACGAGGCATATATCACAGACACTGTATTGTATATCAATGATTACGAATACAATTGCAAGGTACGAATTGAATTGGAATCTTTGCAGGCGTAAACTTCAGTTCAAAACTTTTGACATGTCATTTTCCTGTCAATCTTGCCCCACACACGTCCGGACACACACACTATTTTGTCCGTATAAACATACGCACAAACCCACAGACATTGCCTTTAGAAGCTTTTTCATAAACAACCTGTCTCATTTGTAGCTCCAGAAGCTCCTAAAGATGATCTCTGAGAAGAAAGACGGTGATTGGTTGCATCACTTCAACCCCGAGGCCGCCATCTTTGTTTGCAATAAGTGGGACCAAGTGCCAGGAAAGGAAACAGACGAAGTCAAGTGAGTTGGAGGGAACAGCCACTAGTTGCTAACAATCATATATAATATCCCACCTTGATATTGATACCATGTTTACTGACAGTAGATTTGTGCAACTGTCCACTGTCAAGAGCAATGTGAATCATGATGAAGAAACCTTCCAGACGTAAACTGTGTCCTATCGCAGCATTTCTCGTGAAACGACGTATAAGACTTCTTTCTAATTTCGTCCCATAGACAAGATACGTGGAAGAAGCTGCAGCGATGTTGGCCGGGCATCAAAGAGCACCAGTTGTATTATTTGTCTGCAAGAACGGTACGTAGACGTCTTCTGTCGTAGCCTACAATACTTCATGGCGTTCAATAGTTGTCAGCAAAGCACACGTAATGAATGAAGTGATAGATGCAATGCTCCGTGTAGAGCATGCTTTAGATACACAGCATTTTATGTACTAGTAGTTTTGTATTACACAGTACGTTGTACATTGTGATATTGATGTTGATGTACATGCCCATGTAGGCGTCCTCCCAGTTTCGTGCTGCCGGCATCCTGACTAAGGACTTTGAAGAACTGATCCAGGGTATTGAAGAACTTTTGCCCGCCAGTCTTCATAACCGACTGGAGTCCACTTACAAGTACGTACATCTTTTTTGTATGAATCGGTATAACTCTTGTAATCTATCATTCCTCTGGAGTTATTGGATAGGTCTGAATGGATAGAAGTTTGTTTCTTGCTGAGAGACGCCACTGTTCTCAGCCGCTGACTGCCACGTGCAATTTCCTTACTTTTAAGATGGCTGTCGAACCTTCTGAAGCGCAGCGCTTTCTGCCAGCGCGTTCAGATCTGCAGTGCCCTGATGACTGCCGACCAGCGGCAGAAGGAGTACCTGGACATCATGGACCGGATCGCCAAACTAGAGTCCCGCGCGGGAGCGGTGATGAAAGGTCTGGAGAAGGAGTTGAACACGAGCGTTCGTCAGGCCGTCGAGTCCCTTGAGGTCAGTGACCCCCGACAGGAGTATTGTAATTAGTTATGTCCGCACATTTGCAGCTATAGCTCAAGATTCCTTTCCTGCATTCGTATGTAGTTTGGCTTGTCGTCTACTAGTATGCGCTAGTCTGTTAGTATGCATTTTCATAGGTGATATTACAAACCGACCGTTTTGAAGGTTTAGAGTAGTTTTCAAAGATTAATATTCTGGATGGTTTTGCTGCGCCTTCTCCCCACTTAAATGATCAATAGACGTACCTGACAAATGAGGAACAGACTATCACACGTTGGACCGAGCATGAAGCACCCACCGCAAAAGACTTCTCTGTTATCAACGAAGAAGTGGCCAACCTGATTCGTCAGCGACTTCAGACGGTCATTAACTGTTGGAAGGAGAACACACGGCCATTCCAGAAGATTCAAGATGACCTCATGAGGCGATTTCAGGAGGAGTTCCGACCTGTGGAAGACCAGGTACTTTTGTTTGATGCTCTTCGTTTACGAAATGCTTCTTGTTTTAATTTATTTACACGTGCAAATTAGACTGACATCGAAAAACATATTTCATGTCGTATATATCTAAACGTTACTGTTACATTTCTATCCAACAAGGTTGCAGCTATCCGTCTCGCTATGGAACAGGGAGGAGGAGCGGCTGAACAACTCACAGTTTCGGCGGATCCTGAACGGAAGAGCCTGGAGATGATAAATGCCCAATGGACGCCAGGGGAGAAGGTCGCCATCGCTTTGACGTCACCAATATGGCTTCCGTTCGCGATAGTGGCTGGAGTCATTTATCTCCCAGTCGCTGGGATACAGGTAAATTTCCATGCATCATACCTATGATGTATGTAATATGTAGTATTTGAACAGAAACATTCAAATTGGTAAAACCACTGTAAGCTAATTTAAAGGAATTTTATACCTGAGGACTATTGCCCAGAATCACCGGTATGATCGTAATGAGTCAAGTGTAGATGATATTTAGATCACATTCAATGTCGATGAGTGGGCAAAATAAATTTAACTTGGCCGTTCAAAACTTTTTTTCTCTTGCACTATACCTACAGACCCTTTACAACAAGATTGTTACTGAGCAGAAGATGAAGACCTACCACACAGACAAGGCCAGGTTTATGAAGGAACGGGCGGAAGAGATGCTGAAGTCCTTGTGTGAGGGAAACAATCTCCGCAAGGTAATTTTCTTTAACCCTCAACAGTACACCTTCCCAGACTGATTAATCTGTACACCTGGGGTCCGCGCGGACCCCAAAACAGTTTTTTTGCAAATTTTTAGAAATTATCAACATTCAACACGCTACAAGCTCAAAATATTACACAATACATACTGCAGGTGATGGACAGTCACATGGCGGCCGTGTGGCAGTGGTTCAGCGCTCTGAAGGAGTCTATTCCAACACTCCTCCGGGCCGAGAAACGTCTTCTGCACAGCGTACAGCAGGAGAAAACACAGAACAGAAAAGCTGTGGGATATTACAAGACGTTCTACCAACAATGCCTGCAGGTAAAAAGACTGGATGTAGAAACGATTTAAGTGTGACGGGGAGTGCATACACGTATTGAAAAAAGATATGCATTCAGCCTTGTGCGTCTCTCAATGCTATCATTAGAATTCAGTTTCTTGTTGAAGTTCGTGACTATTCCACATTTATTGCAGTTTTTCAAACTCATATAGATCGTTTCCGTTCGAAATCTAGCTGCAGAGCAAACTGGACAAATTGTACATGAGCGACATCCGTAAGTACGAGATCGACAATGACAGTATCATCTGTGACCGAACCACTGACTTCATATCGGAGGGGTGTTTCGGGGCGGTGTACCGCGCCAGCCTGAAGAAAGCCGACGGTTCGTCGCAACCCGTGGCACTGAAGATACTAAAGGACGACTTACTATCTGACACTGTTTCTGAGTTCCTTGTCGAGGAGGACAATCTTAAGTATGTATCTCTTTTTTTTCATTACGCCTTTGATGTTTGAAGTGTAAAAACAGGCCAAAAATAAGAAGGACAATGCGTGGCAGTGATGTTGGAATGATCCATATGTATGGACAAGCCGGTATGGAGAGAGGAAATGACCTTCTGTCATCTTCCTCTTCACCAATCATAATTGCCCTGATGAAGATGGCAGACGGTCGTCTAAACGTCGGTTTTTGTTTCACAAGAAGTTGCCAATAAAGAACTTTTAAAACATGCTTACGTTCCTTTGTGTTTCAGACGCTTGCAGCACCCAAACGTCGTCCGGTTCCTCGGCTCTTCTTGCCGAAAGACCAGGGGCCGGCCGTCTGGAGCTGTTCATGGTTTTGGAGCTGCGCGACACAACCCTCAAACGGGTTGTATTTCTCGGTCACCAAAACGTTCCCGCGAAACACAAAGTCGACAGCCCGACTTTCATCAGGGCGAGGGAGTTCCTGAGGACCAACGCACTGCAGATCGCCAGGGGGCTCTCCTACATCCACGGTAACGGTCTGGTGCACAGGGATCTCAAGCTGGACAACATTCTGGTGAAGACAGCTTTCATTTAAAACAACCATTCACACGTTGGTTTTCTATCAGGTTAAACATATCACAAGTTGTAGCCGACGTACTTTATCATATGTATTGACATACCCTGTGACAAATAAAGCAGCAGCAGCTGCTTGTTAGGATTGTGTTGGTATATGGCCCAATAATCATGTATGTGACTTAGTATCAATGGTGCTGTTTCCAGATGAAGAGAGGGACGGTGAAGATTGCTGACCTGGGCATGGCCAAACCGATGGAGATCATCGCCGGGACCTGCCATGCAGGAGCTCTG